TATATGTAAATAGATCTATTTCCCCATCATAATATATAAATATTATATTTATGTACATATGTACATGCCTGTATTTAGACCTCTATAAATGCCCTTTGCCTCCTAGGTCTTTCCTCTATTTCCTTTTACTTTCCTCTTGTCCCACTACCATGTTCAGCCTTGATTTGGGTTTCAGTAATTTCTCACGGTTACATTGCCCTTGATCAAGCCCTACCAGGCCTCCCACACCCTCCTCGCCATCGGTTTTTAGATCACTTGTTGTTCCCTGGGTTTGTTAACACCCACTTCCTTTCCCCCACCTCCCCCTCTCGCATGTCCCCCCAAACCTTCAGTCCTGTTGTTTTCTCTTCCAGATTGTTTATTCCCCCTCTCTTTTCTAGATAGTCATGCAGAGACAATAATATGCACAGAAACAAAACAGAACAAAACAAAGCGACAAAACAACAACCAAAAAAAACCAATGACAATAAAAGAAAAGCCTATAAATAGTTCAAGGTCTGTTTGTTGACCTTTAGGAGTGTTTTCTGGTCCAGTCTGATGGGGTGCCACGCCCTGGCCCCAAATTATATTTTTGGTATTCCCTGGGGACTTCGTTGTTCTACTCCCCTTGCTGTTCTGTTGCACGCCCTTAGTGTTTTGCCTCGGTGTGGGGGGGTCAGATGGGGCACAATTCCCAAACTATGTCTCCATGTTGTTCCTGTGTGCTCTGATCAAACTTATCCCTCTCCCTGAGCTGTAGCTTTAGTGCTGTCCTCTGAAGTGAATTCTTCTGCTGGGCGGGGGGACTGTCCACATAGTTGGGATTGGGGCAGGCCCCTCAGACCTCTCTACCAGTTCCCTGCTTCATGCCAGTGTGTTGCATTCATGTCTTGGAGCATCTGGTTGAAGTCTGGTCCCTCTTTCCCTGTGGAGATATAAACAACACCTTCCCCTTCGGTGGGTTAGTGCCCTGTTCCCCTGCTAACCATGTCTTTTTTTTTTTTTCTCGCTTTTTCTCCTCCTTTTTAGTTGGCTACAATATATATCCCTGGATTTGGTCTGGCCCAACTCAGAGTCGATATTTTTCCATAATTATTTCAGTGAAAATAAAGAAGACATTTTTATCATCATGTCTTTACCCTTTCACCCCAAAGAGAAGAAACTGGTTCCAAAGAGAGAAAATGACGGGCAAGGGCTATAAGCTTCATGAAAGTAGAGGCTGCAATTGTCTTGGTCACATTTGTTGCCTAGATGAAAGAGGAGCAAGACAAACCCTCAGAATTCTACTTATGGTCTTTCCACTTATTTGCACCACATTGTCAAAGGGCAACTACCAAATCCATTCAACAATGTATTAATACATTCCATAAGTATTAACTCAGTACCCACTACAACTAATCCTGGTAACTTCAGAACATGTAAAATGGGAGGGGCAGGGGGCAAAAAACGAAACAAGGAGCTATGATAGAATTACTTGGAATGCTATCATGGTGGTTAGGCACTGGACTGCTGGTTGAAAGGTTTTTGGTTCTAACCTACCACCCCCTCCATGGAGAAAGATGTGGGTGGCAGTTTTACCTCCCTAAAGGTGACAGACATGGGAGCCTGGCTATGCAGCAATTCCACTCTCTCTTAAAAATGTTCTAAAAATCTGACATGACCTTATGAGCAGTGGGTTTGGGATTGTTGTTTGGGTTTTGGTTACTTGGGATGGGGCTCTGTTAGATTAGGTGGTCAGGGAGGAAAGCTTCTATGAGAAAGTGGTTTGCCTCTGTCTGAGATGTGAGAGAATGAAGTCTCAATGCAACAAAAGGACGTGGACACCTCCTAAGAGATTAACTGTGCGGGATATATAATATGTGTGTGTGTATAGATATATAAACACATACATATACACGCTCATGCACTTCTTTCCATCCCTCATCTTCTAAATCAGGGCATCCAGGGTGGCAGCATACTGGAAATAGCTCTCTCACCCTTATTGATGATTAGTAGGCCCGGAGAGGGTTTACCCATCTTATTGACATGACAGGACCAGGAAAGCGCCTTCTTTGGGCTTTTTAGTAATAACAAGACCTTTAGGCTTAGGATGGTGGACTTTTGATTATTCCAAAAGCCGAAAGTGGTTCCCCATCCTCCACCCTCCCCCATTTGTATTTTTCAGGCCTTCCGCCCCAGAACCCTTGCTATGGATTGGCTAAGAATAGACCCGACTCTCGCTCGGGATTCGCTACTAGCCACCAGGAATCCCGCCCCCTCTCGCTCAGGATTCGCTATCCCTTTGTTTATCCCGCCCTTCCCCCGAGAGGATTGGCTGCTTGGCCCTTCGCGCCGTTACCGCCCACACGAGCGACTGCGGCACCAGTGACTGGGTGCAGGACTCGCAGCGATGGCAGTCGCTGCGTTGGCGGCGCGAGCTCGGCTGAGCGTTTTAGGAGTGAGGGCCATGCAAGCCCAAGGCTTCGGCTCCGACCAGGTACGCCGGCGGCGGCCCCAGCCGTGAGCGCGGCCCCCTCTCCCTCTCGGCATCTTTATCTTTGCCCCCGTCTCTCTCCACAGTCGGATCGCACCGACTCGGGCGCGGGCTCCGTCCGCGAAGCCGGCGGGGCCTTCGGAAGGAGAGAGGCGGCCGAAGAGGAGAGATTCATCCGGTGAGGTCTACGAGGCTCGGAGCCCTACCCAAGAACCGCTCCGGGCCATCTAAACCATCCACAGCCCCACCCAACCCTTCCCGGTGCCCTGGCTCTGGGACATCCTCAGCCCCCAAGAGAATTCCAGGCCGCCCCACCCAATCCATTGATGTCCCGGCCTGTACCAACAACAGCTTCACAGCCCCGGGACCTCCAAACCCATGCCTTTTCCACTGGCGTGGCCCCAGAAAGGCCCACCACGGCTGAACTCCCCCTTTGCCATCCCAGCTGTGGCGTTCTCCCCCGATTGTGTGGAGCCCCTCCCCCGCCCCCCATTCTTCCCCACGTCTAGTTCGGACCTTCTGATACTCGCCTGCCCTTTGGCTCGACTTCCTTGTTCCTGGCCCTCCTAACACCCCCTCCACGCCCTCTTTTCTCCCTCCAAGGCTTAGCTTTGCAAATCCTGGCTGGCTTCCCTGCCATTTCTCTTAACCATATTCCTTTCCAGACGCTACCAGGCCCAACTCCACTCGGGGGCCTTACGCACCGTTGGACGTTACATTTTGGGGGGTCTTGAGTGGACCTGCAGGGACCAGACCCTGGCCTGTAGATTCAGAGTAGGGAATGGCTTGGGCCTGTTCTTCTTCCCCCATCCCTAAGTGATCAGGTGATCATTAACTGACGATTATTCAAGCTGGGGAGGAGCTAGGGACTGACTACCTCTTCTTTAACCCACCTATGCACGTCTGCTCTCTTCTTGCTCAATCTTAAGACCTATCGCACAGCCACTTGCCAAGCCAGCAAGTTAGGATACTGCTGCTGCCGTAAGCTCCCTGTGACTTTGTTGGTGACTTTCTATATAGCCCCCAGCCCCCCCAAAAACCCCACAAAACCAAAAACCACCGGAGATCCTATATAGAGTTTCAGCAGCTGTCAATCTTTATGGGAGCAGGCAACCTCATCTTTCTCTCCAGGAGCGTGGCTTTAACTGCTGACCTTGCAGTTTGCTGCCTCACCCACAGCACCACCTGGGCTCCTTCATGTGCAGCAGCAGGAGAAGTTTTCAGTGCTGTGTCTTTGAGCCCCAGTGGCTTCAACCAAAGCCGCTGCTGTTGAGTTGATTGGGACACATAGCTACTCTACAAGGTTTCAGAGGCTGTAAATCCTCACAGAACAGATAGCCTCGTCCTTGTCTGAAGGAGCTGCCAGTAGGTTTGGACAACTGACCTTGTGGTTAGCCATCCAATGCTTAATGCAACAGTGCCCACCAGATAATTGGGCCTCTATCTTAATTTTACACATAGTGAAAACTAAGGCCTAAAAGTAACCAAAGCAATATTGAGACCTAGATTGGACTGCCTACTACTGCCCTTGCAAGACACTCCAGGCTTCTTTTTTCCTGCTTTTTAGCCTTTATAAAGGGCCATGAAAGGAGCCCTGGTGGTGTATTGGTACTGGGCTGCTAACCCTTGAAGTTAGCAGTTCAAAACCAGCACCTGCTCCAAGGGAGAAAGATGAGGCTTTCTATTCACATAAAAAGTTTTAGTGTCAGAAAACCCACAGGGCAGGGTTGCCATATGCAGATAGACTCATGGGAGTTTGGATTTGGGTTGAGAGGATCATGTGTTTCTTGAGGCAGTGAATCCTATATAAAATTGTAATCGAAAGTAACTGTCCTTTAACCACATACTTTTATCTGCCTATTCGCCCAGCCCCCATTAGCTTCTTCCTGGTTTGCTCCTTTTTTTCCCCCACAGAAAGGGACTCTAGCTCCCCAGATGGTTTCTCTGAATGATATTGGACACTTAATGGTATATTTCTCTGGGATTTTGTCATCTAAAGAGGAATCTGTAATGAATAGGTGAGCTTTCAGGCATTAGCATGAAGAAAATGCGTCCTTGGGTTATTACCTTAGCATATTCTTCCACGGATGGAGCAGGGAAGCAGGTGTGTAACCAACCACACTGCCAGGAAACTGGAACTTTGTTTTGCTGTTTGCCAAGGGTGTTTTGGGTTATGCTTAGAAATGTCTTTGGGGAGAAGGACTGAGATTAAACCCAAAGGCACTGTGTTTTTTATAGGGCACAGACTAGAGAGCAGCTGGCCGCCTTGAAGAAACACCATGAAGACGAGATCGTTTATTCTAAGAAGGAGATCGAGCGTCTCCAGAAAGAAATTGAACGGCACAAGAAGAAGATAAACAAACTACAAAAACATGATTAAGTACACACCGTTTCTCAGAGAATGGCTACGTAATCATGGTCCACTTGTAAGTGGGCACAGTTCTGCTTTAATGAATGTTGCTCTGAGTGCTGCCAACATATAATAAATTGTCATAAGTGAACTCTGTTTGATTCCTTTTACAATCTGAAGGGTAATGAAGGGAGAGGCACTGCTTAGCTGCCAAAATGAGTGCCTAGGGTCCCTGCAACAGAGAGCTGACAGAGAATGAAGGCACTAGTCAAACAGGAGAGGGGCTGGGGAGGACACAGACTTGCCCCTGCCCAATCCACGTTCAGAAGGAATGTGAACGATAAACCCCAATTCCAGGCCCTAAGGGTCAGACACAGCCTGGAGGATAGGGGAGGATGATTGCTTTAAAAGATGCAATTTGAGGCGCCATCTGTAGTAACACTATTTGGAATTAAAATTTAGAAAACTCATGACCTTATGAATTACATGTGCTTGTTCTAAATTTGTATCTTGAAAGAACTAAAGGTAGAGATCATGTACTGCCGCTCAATAAGTTGGAGTTGAGACGTATTCAAATCTCCTGCCCCTTGGACCTGAGTGCTCAAAGACCGTGCTCCACAGCTTACTTTGGTGAGTAGTGACGGGTCTGGAAAGCTGATGAACAGCCCTGTATGGTGCAGCCATTGGCCTCTCCCCATTGGGAGCAGAGAGTGAACACCAAAGACCCATGGGAACATTTAGCCCGATGGACGAATGGACCGTGCACACATCCACATCCATGACCCAGCGAGTGAAAAGATGAGATGGAGCCAGGGATCACAATAGAAGGTTCTAGGTAGAGGGGGAGAAAAATGTGGAACAAAACCATAAAAACGATGAGACTTAGTGGTTGGCTAGAGACTAGTGGAACCCTCTGAGAGTACGGCCCTCAGTCACCCATCAGACCTGAAGCTACCCCTTTGGTCAACTTTCAGCCAAACAATAAACAGGTCTATCATATCACCACACTAGAATAATCAACTATTTACTCAAGGACAAAGTCCTAGAGGGTCAGGCAGGGAGGAAAGGAAACAAAACCAGAAGTGGGATACAATGATACTACATTGTGGGATTGCAGTCAGAGACATAAACCCAACCTGTTGAATGGGAAACAGATTTTCTCAGAAAACTCACCCAATTCACAAAAGAAATTTTTTTCTAACTCCACCCAAGTCTGTTAACAGGAAATCAGAATTAATTTTTAGGTTTTGCTTTACCAGTGGGTACTTTGGATTCAAATTAGATATTAAGGCCTGGTTAAAGTATGCACACACACACACACAACTTGAGATTACATTTGCTCTATTAACAAACCATTTCGATTGATCAGTGCAATAAATCATTTGCCTCAGAACTGTGATGAGCTGTCGAGGAGCCCATTCGTCACTCAGAGAAAGATGAGGCTGTCTGCTCCCATAGAGATTGATAGCGTCAGACTCAACACGTAAAGTAGACTATCAATATGAAAAGTCAAAATGAGTTTGGGTTTGGTGTTTGTTAAGTGCCATGGAGTTGATTCCAACTCAGTGACCTTTAAGAACCAAGTAGAACTGCCCCTATAAGGTTTTCCAGACTATGTGAGAACAAATGCCAGGTCTTCTCCCTTGGAGTAGCTGGATAGGCTAGAGTCACCCATCTGTGGTTTAGCAGCCTAACCTCACTGTCACGCTATCAAAGTATGACAAGCTGCAAGGGAGTTTCACCAAGTTCATGGAAAAGCAGAATTAGAAGATGATGGAATACATGGAAGAAACACACCAGCCTATGTGATCACGAGGTGTCGCGGCATCAAAACCCAGAACAAAAATCATATCATCGTGAATGAGGGGGAGTGCGGAGTGGAGACGCAAAGCCCATCTGTAGACAATTGGACATTCCCGCACAGAAGGGTTGAGGGGAGACCAGGATGCAGTATAGCACCAATGAAACATACAATTTTCCTCTAGTTCTTTAATGCTCCCCCCCCCCCACTATCATGACCCCAATTCTACCCTACAAACCTGGCTAGACCAGAGGATGTACACGGTACAGATAAGAACTGGAAACACAGAATCCAGGACAGATAAACCCCTCAGGACCAATATTGAGAGTAGCCATACCAGGAGGGTCAGGGGAAGGTGGGGGGAGACAGAGCGAACCGATTACAATGATCTACATATAACCCCCTCCCAGGGGGATGAACAACAGAAAAGTGGGTGAAGGGAGACATCAGTCAGTGTAAGACATAAAAAAATAATAACAAATTATTAAGGGTTCATGAGGGAGGGAGGGGATACCATGAGAAGCTGATACCAAGGGCTCAAGTAGAAAGAAAATGTTTTGAAAATGATGATGGCAACAAATGTACTAATGTGCTTGACACAATGGATGGATGGATGGATGGATTGTGATAATTATATGAGCCCCCAATAAAATGATTTCAAAACAAAACAGAACCAAAAAAGTTGGAGTTTTCTTACAAACTTGAAGCCCTCTCCTATTTATTACAAAACCCTGTATCACAAAGGCCTTTCTCAAACCCACTGTCATTTAGGCGATTTCCCACTCAGTGACCCGAAAGGCCAGAATAGGACATAGGACACCTCTTTGGGTCTGTGATGGTGTAAATATTGATGGGAGGACACAGTTTCATCTTTCTCTCATGGAGTGACTGGTGAGTTCAAACTGCTGACCTGGTGGTTAGCAGTCCAGCTCTTAGCCCACTAGGCCACCAGGGCTCCTTACAAAGGTCTTTGAGGCCTATTGAATGATAAAACCTTGGGGAAAACATTGACTTGGCCTACACACTCTAGACACTAGATGGCAGTTTATAAAACAAGTTTTTCCTTCACTTAATTCTAGCCCTGAGAACAAATAATTCTTATGGCATGGTTCTACTCACTCTCATGAAGAGATTGTTGAAGACACGGGTACGATAGCCAAGGTTAGGGAAGAAACCAGATGGTGCCCAACTAACAGAAAGAATAATGGCTAGGGTTTAAAAAGTTTGTCTTCAAACAAGCATCAACTAAGTCCACATGGGAGAAACACCCCAGCCCGTGTGATCCAAGGACTGTAAATCCAAATCTGGAGAAGGGAACTGTATCAGCTTAAATTCTGCATGCCTGGTTTGAAGATAGAGGAAGCCCAAAATTTATTTGCAGGGTCCCCACATGGATTAAGCCTCCAGTGAAAATTGTCCCTCTGACAGTCGTCCCGGGATTGAATCGCCTTGCTACCAGACAGAGCATTGTAAAGTTGATTAGGACAGACGTAATTAGGTTAAAATGTAGTGCTCATTTGATCTCCCCTTTGACCCAGTTTAAAGTTGTTTCAGTTTTCAATACTTGCTGTTATCTATTGAAGTTCTTCTGTTTTGTCATTGATGCTGGTTTGTTTGTTTGCCTCCTGTTTGTGTCTTATATGTTTTCTGTGTATGGAATCCAGGATAGGTAAATCTTTAGAGACAATACTGAATTAATAATTACCTAGGGACATGCCAGGAGAGGTTGGGAGGATATGGGAAACTAACAACAGAGAATACAAGAAAATACTCTGAAATTGATTGTGGTGATTATTGCATAGTTCTTCTTAATATGGTTGAATGATTAAAGTGCATTATATGTCCCCAGGGGAAAAGATTGACCCGTATTTGTTTTGGTTTGGTTTGGTGGTGTTTGTTTGTTTGTTTGTCATAATATGACTGCTAAAGTAACCAGAGCCATTATAATCCATGGACAAGCAGATGGATTCTGGGCTCCCACTTAATTCTAGCCCCAATCCAAGAACAATTAGCTGTTACCCTGCTCCATACTTGCCTTCATGAAGAAATCACTGAAGATGAGGGAGCTACAGCAAAATGTGGTGAAGAAAGCAGATGGTGCCCAGCTATCAATGGACTAGTCTTTGGAATGAGACATCAACGAGGTCCACATCGAAGATGACAATAACAAAACCAAATATGATGAAGGGAAAGGTATCAGAGCTTAAATTGCGAACACCCAATTTGTAGAAGGCTGTGGAGGACAGTGGGAGCCCAAAGTCTATCTGTAGAGTAGCTAGTCAGATTAAGCCTCTGGCAGATTTCCTCTGGCCTCAGGTGAGGGACTCAAAAAACTTTACTATCAGACAAAGCTCATTGTAAACTTGATTATGGTGCATCAAACAATGGTATAATATGATACTTGATCAATTGACCTCCCTCCTGACCCTACCTGAATTTATTCTAGACTTAAAATTTTTTTGCTTGTTCTGTTAAGTTTCTCTTCTTGGCTCCGCATGAGAAAGAATTCACGCCAAAGCCTGGTTTGTGATCCAAGTGGGTTTTTATGAAGGACAGAAGAACTTTCAGGTTTTACTGTCACTGAACACAGGCAACTCATGGGACTGCACACCCACGCATGGCGGCCTGAGCCAGAGAGAGAGACTGCATGCCGGCCAAGCAGAAAGCGGAGAAGCAGCCAAGGGAAAGAGGGCGGTGGTCTCCAGGTTCTGGTCTTCAGGGCTTTGGCTGGGAGGCGTGTTCGAAGGTATGGGTTAACCCCACTGGCTGAATGAAGCCCATCTGGCTAGTTTGGACCCCAGGTGTACCGCCTCCCTGGCTCTAGGGCCTGCATGTGGAGCATGCCCCTCAGACATACCTGCTTCTTGCTACCTAACAGTTCCACAACAGAAATTTCATTTCTGGCTTTTTAAATATTGCTGGCGGTGTTTTCTTTCTTACTCTTTAATTTTATCTTTATATATTTTTTTCTTCTGTCTGTTTCATTTTGGTTTGGGTGATTGCGTGTGTGTCTGTTAGGTTTCCCAGTTTATGAAGCACAGAGAAGTGAATGCATAGAGACAATGACTAATTGGGAGGTGGGGAGGGAAAGGGAAATAGGGGAGCAAACGATGAATATAGGACGGGGACGGGAACACTAGAACTGATTGTAATGATGTATATACAACTCTATTTAAAAGTGAATGAAGTGTATGATATGTGAACCTTATATCAATAAAACTACTGAAAAAACAAACTATGCTATGTGAATTACATGCCAATAAAACTATTTTTTTAAAAACCAAAACCAATGGTTTCCATGACACAGGGCGTTTTGGGTTACAGTGCTGCTGGTAGGAGGTTCACTGGTC